AAAACAGATATGTTGTGGGAGTAACTTCCGCTGCCTCAACCAATAATCACTGAAGCAGGAGCCCACAGTGCAGCGGGGAGCGACTTCCGCTCCGTCAGCCAATAGCTGCTGAAATACCAGCCCACTGGGGCGTGGTATATTTCTCTCTTAAAAAGAGAAGCAGTTCCGGATAAGGCCCTCTTGGTTCCGGCTCTTGGTTCCGGTGCTCGGTCTCAGCTGCTGCTCCCGGCTCCTGCTCCAGCGACTAGGCTCCCTTCCTGACGGTTTATGGTGTATGTAAGTTTTACCCCCCGCCAAATAAATAACCCCTTAAAACATAACTGGTGTGGGATTGATTCGTTAATACAGGTAGGCTAACTGCAGATCTTCACCTCTCCCTCCAGTCCTTCAAATTTGACTCCCTAATCTCATTCCCCCGCTCTCTAGCAGACCACCTCATACTGCCTCCTCTGCTCCCCTTCCCCAGCTCTGGAGGATCATACAGATCTTCCCCTTCAACCTTTATTCCCCCAAAAAACTTTATTTCCCCTTTTTTTTCTCAGGCCCCAGAAAGCATCCAGTGAGAACCTATCACCTAAACCTGCTAAAGAAGCAAGCAGGCCAACAAAAGCATGTAGGCAAACTTCAGATCTTCACTCTCCAACCTTTCCTCCAAATCTAATCCCCCAGTCTCTTCACAAGCTCTTCACCAATCTACCTGCTGTAGCCTCTTCTCACTCTCTGCCCCCATTCCCAGGAGTTTAAGCAGAGCAGGCAGAGTACCCTGCTTTCTTCTATCCAGTAGACTCCAAGAGACATCCCTTCTAGTCCATCCCCATTTCGAAATGTCAGCTCCCAATACATAACTCACTCTACCCAGAACCCCAGTGGCCATATTGATCAGGATTCCAGAATTCCCTACCAGGAAACACACAGCCACCACTTCCTCCTAAGAATAATAGAGGGAAATAGAAAGTAAGAAACAAAACATCCACCCAATAAAGACAAGACCAGATATCAGCACCTCAAATTACAATCTTTTCAAACCCAATACCAGTATAAATAGATGCCAGCATAAAAACACTATCAATAACTTCCAGGACAATGTGTCTTCAGTAGATCCAAGCAGCCCTACCACAGTGGGTCTGAGAATTACAACATAGGTGAAGCACAAGACAAAGACCTTAAAATGGCCTTTATGAGCTGAGCAGTGGTGATACACACCTTTATCCCCAGCAGAGGCAGGTGGATCTTGGTGGGTTCGAGGTCAGCCTGGGCTATAGATCAAGTTCCAGGACAGGCTCCAAAGCTACACAGAGAAATTCTGTCTCTAAAAACAAAACCAAACTAATAAAAAGCCTTTATGGATATGATAGGGGTCTTTTAAGAGAAAATAAATCCCTTAAAGACATCTGTGAAAATACAAACAGACAGTGGAAGGAAATGGACAAGACAACTCAAGGCCTAAAATCAGGAAATCCAAATTGTGGGAAACCTGGAAATGAAAAGTTTAGGAACTCAAATAGGAACCACAGAGGCAAACCTTACCAATAGAATACAAGAGACGAAAGAGTGAATCTGCGGCATTGAAGACACAAGAAATGGAGACCTCAGTCAAAGAAAACATTAAAGATTCTGGAAATCTGAGATATGATAAAAAGACTAAGAAATCAAATCTAAGAATAATAGTAATACAAGAAGGAGAAGAAACCCAGGCCAAAGGCCCAGAAAATATTTTCAATAAAATCATAAAAAAATTTCTCTAACCTAAAGAAGAACATTCCTATAAAGATACAAGAAGCTTACATAACAAGAAAAAGACGGGACCAGTAAAGAAAGTCCTGTAGGCACAGAATATTCAAAACACTAAACATACAGAACAAAAAAATTATTAAAAACTGTAAGAGAAAAAGACCAAGTGATATACAAAGGTAGACCTGTTAGAAATACATGTGACTTCTCAATGAAGACTCTAAAAGCAAGAAGGGCCTGTAAAGAAGTTCTGCAGACTCTAAGAGATCATAATTGCCAGCTTAGAGTAATATACCAAGGAAAACACAATAGATGTGTTTCAATCACAATAGATGGAGAAAATAAGACATTCTATGATAAAAACCAAATTTAAGAAATATCTATGTATAAATTTACTCAATGGAAAACGCTAGAAGGGAAACTCCAGCCTAAAGAAGTTAACCATACCCAAGAAAACACAAGGAATAAACAATCACTGACCAGCAAATCAAAAGAGGGGAAGCATAAACACACAACAACAAAATGACAGGAATCAACGACCATCGGTCCTTGGTATCTCTCAACATTAAGCGTCTTAATTCCCCAATAAAAAGACACAGCCTAACAGAATGGATGTGAAAACAGGATCCATCCTTCTCGCACATCCAAGAAACACACCTTAACATCAAGAATAGACATCACCTCCAGGCAAACAGTCGGAAATATATTCCAAGAAAAATGGACATAAGAAATAAGCTGAAGTAGCCATTTTAATACCTGACAAAATAGACTTCAAACCAAAACTAACCAGAAAAGACAATTGAAATAACACTCTGCATTCTATTTGATCACAAAGATTGAAATGCCAGAACTAATTGATGTACAAATCAAATAGATGTAAAAGACATTTATATATGCTCAGATGCAAGTTAAAGCAGGTCATCTACAACAACAAGCTTTAAACTCGTGGAAGCTGAACTACTCAGTGTAGTAATAAAACTAGATCAACACATAAAGACTTTCTAGAACTCAATGAAAATTAAAACACAACATACCCAAACTTATGGGACACAATGAAGACTATTGGAAGCAGTAAGTTCATAACACTATTGTCTACTTAAAAAAATTGAAGAAATCTCATGCTAGAAACTTAAAAGCACTTGAAAGCTCTAGAACAAAAACAAGAAATTGCGCTCAAAAAGAATTAGATAACAGCAAATACTCAAACTCAGGCTGTAATCTGCCACGGACCGGCTCAGGGGAGCCACTCAGACCATGGGAGAAGCAGGGTCTTGGTAACAGGAAGGCACAAGTTCGGCGAATGACAGACAGACACAACACACAAGAGAGTAGTTGGAATCTGCTGCGATTTTACTGAATTCATGTTTTCATTATATAGTATTCAAACAAAGAACAAATCAGAAGGTCATGCATGTATCATTGGTTGGCACAGTATGAAAGCTTCTTTTAGTCACATCAGCGATATTTAAGAAAAGCATATTATCAGGAACAGGTGTTAGACATAAAGCATCCTTAGAAGAGGAAATCTTGTCCTTGGGAACGTAAACCTCAGACAAGTAGTTTCTTCTTATGAACAGAAAGTTTCTGTCTCATTATTGCTATCATGGCCCTTCCTCTTTCTAACCCTTTCTTTATTTCATCTAGTGACCAAATATGTCTAATCAGTTCTCTGCACCTGCTGAAATATACTTTCTTGTACCTTCTTATGCAGTGGACACCAT